CTTCCTCCCCCACCTGCTCCTCCACGCCCACAGACGCACGTCATCTCGGAGTCGAGGCCCAAGGAGCTGTACACGGAGATGCCCATCATCTGGCTGAGACCCGAGCAGCACCGCAAGAAGCCCGGGCCAGCGGAGGCGGCGGCCAACGGCGGCATCGGCATCTACGACTGCCCCGTCTACAAGACTCTCACACGCGCCGGCACTCTCTCCACCACGGGCCACTCCACCAACTTCGTCATGTATCTGGAGCTGCCATCAGACCAGTCACAGGGCCACTGGATCAATCGGGGTGTGGCGTTATTTACAGGCCTGGCGTTCTGAAATGGCACACGGGGCGAGCTGAAGTGGGAAGGGTGGAACGGACGACATGGCGCGGGAGGGAGGGGGGAGGAGAGAGACGGGAGCGGGGGCGTGTGTGTGTGTGTGTGTGTGTGTGTGTGTGTGTATGTGTGTTGTATTGTGTAGGATGACCAGGGTGGCGATCCTCAGGTGGTGCAGGTGGGAGGGGCTCCAAATGGAGTTTTTAGTTGTTAGGTTATTCGCTGCTGCAGAGGCGCTGCTTTTTCGCAATAAGGCATTCGTTCTGCTCTGCCACACCGTGACCCAATCAATTCATGTGACTATTTGGTATGTATGTATGTATATGAGGGGGAGGGGAGAAAGGGGGACCCTTGGTGTGTCTCATGTCTGCATGCGCGTGCGCGTGTGCGGACCATCTGCACACATCATGTCTGCATATATGTGTGTTGCGTGGCAAGGACTTGGGGTTGATTGAACAAAACCACCGCTCGTGACTAGCGTGGCTGGGCGTGGCATTGCCCTGCGTTATCTGTGATCTGGTCGTTCTATGATGTTCGAGGGTTAAACGTATTAGGAATACGAACGACGCTCGATAACATACGAAAACAATGCCGGCGGTGTAGACACCACGCCGAAACACTAGGGGCGTACTGAACACCGGGCTGACTGGGCGGTGCTAGGGGATTTCAGCGCGCGCTTTAGGGACTTATGACGTCTTTCTTGAAGCGCACTGTGCTTTTTCCCAGCGGGGGCGATACAGGATGCGGGGCAGGGTAATGTTAGCAGTATGACGCCGACGATGCTAAACGACGCGAAGATAGAGGACCTTCGGCTCAAAGGGGGGCGCAGGAGGAGAGGACCAGGGCTTGCCGCGTTGTGTGGCGAGGCGTGGTGTGATGTGATACGTATTTTTGGATTGGATGATAGATGTTGGTGCTGATTTGCTGATGGTCGCGTTGGCTGCCTTTTCCAGGCTGTCAGAAAGTTTGGAAGGCAACAGGAAGAGGTCAAATCGTCGTCGTCATGCAGTCAATCAATATATGTCCGTCCCGTGGAAGGGTCTCCGCGCGTCCCCTGCATGTTTACTGTTCGGAACAGACAGGTCGACCAACCAACCGGCAGGGAGATATACAAGCACATGCACGGCCAAGAACAGGTTTCCTCAACCTCATGACACAGAGCACACGGTGTACAAAAACGTGAATCGTGCCACCGGAGATAGTTATTCAACACGGGATCGACCCTCTGGGAAAGCTAGCTCACCTTCGCACGCACGCACGTTTGCATTTCAACCACACCAACCGATCAAAAGCTTCCGTATACTAACGCCCAACTTCCCGAGTTAAGGATGCGCGTTGCTATAAGCGCATTTCAGCGCACTCCTAGCCGCGCGCATAGAGCATTTAGTGTCCCGACTACGTCCTGAATATGTATAGAAGAATATACAAAGCCGATAACCACAGCGAAGCCACGGGTAGGATGATGTTCTTCTTCCTGGTGGCCAGCTCACCCGGGCACGCAGCCGACCCATCCTCCACTTTATAACATGCACACCGACGCACGCATGCACACACCATGCCGGATACGTACTTTTCTCCCCTTCCATTCGCGCGCGAAAACCTTCTTCGAATCGCATTCATCATACCATTCACATCTGTATCGCCGTATCTACACACCTAGTATCTTCACACATAGATGCATATGGCACACTGTATAGAAGGCACATCCGGCTTCATCTGGGCCCATTGCACGTGCTCGCCCCACGTGCGGACGAATGAAAAACCCTACTACTTTCCCCGCTACTAACCCTCTGGGCCCGAAATCATTTTCCAGCCTCGCTTCACCCCAACCACTCAGACAAGAAGTACCAAGATCCACACGCACTTTATTGCCACACGCACACACACAGGTGCGATATCCGAACGGAACGAAATCCAACCCCAAATCCGTCAACGACGGTACCGCATGCGGGCCCCCGCATCCAAACGGGGCTTAAGCACCTGCCTGCCTGTTTGTCAGCCTGTCTGTCAGCCTGTCTGTCCGTTCGCGCGGCCCCAGCAAGGCCATTATTGCCGGCGGCTGCGGTAGTGGTGTTGGTGGTCTCGGACGGAGTGGCCTGGCTTTGCGCTGCCTTCCTCCTGCAGCTAGTTCCCCACCCTCCGGCTGGGGTCTGCAACGTCTACGCTCGCAACACCCATACATCCCGCGATCCTCCCATTTCCAAACCCAACCTCTCTCGTTATCACAACATAAAGCAACAGCAACTCATTTCTAAAGGCACGTCTGGAAGGGCGTAATGAAGGACGCATGAAGAGGCTGTAACGCCTTCTTGCCGAGAGGGCAACAGCACGCACACACGCTCGATTCCCCGAACTCCATCCAAAGCGCTCCGCCCGCGCTCCCTGACAACCCTACCCCTCTTCTCCCAACCCTCTCCTCTCATCCCCCGGGCAGCTTCCACTCCCATCGGCGTGTTTATTTACCCCCCAACTCCCCTCCTCCCCCTACACCTCCCCCCCTCCCAACTTCTGCTCCCACTCCCTGCCGACGCTGCCTGTGCCGCATCGCCATCCGTTGCTGCCACTGCTTCCGCTGCCGCTGCAACCGCTGTTCCCGCTGCTGTTCCAAGTTCTGTAGCTCACCTGCCTCCTGCCCCTGTCCCAAATCCAGCACGTGAGGATGCCCCTCCTGGTGCTGCTGCTGCTCCTTCTGCTGCTGCCCCTCCTGGTGCTCCTGGTGCTGCTGCCCCTCCTGGTGCTCCTTCTGCTGCTGCCCCTCCTGGTGCTGCTGCTGATGGCCCTCATCGCTACCAGAGTCGCCCACATTAGCGTCAACCTCACCACCACCACCACCACCTACACCACCGCCGCCGCCGCCACTAGCCAACTCCGCCGCCGCCGCCGCCGCGGCTTCAGCCGCCTTGGCCAGCAGGGCGGCCTCCGCCTCCTCCGCCGCCCGGGCGCCCTCGGGGGTGAGCGGGATGGCGGCGGCGCGGCGGCGCTCCTCGTCCGGATCCGTAAACCAGCTCTGCAGCTCCGGCGGCGCGCGCTTGTCCTTTCCAGGCAACTCCAGGGGCTGCGCTCGTCCGGCCGTTAGTTAGTTGGTTCCCCGTTGGTTGGTTCATTTGTTGGTTCACGGATGGGTCGTAGGTGGTTTAGATATGAGTATACCGCGAAGAGGGAAGAGGGAAGAGGGAAGAGGGAAGGGGGAAGAGGGAAGGGGGAAGAGGAGAAGGGGTGTATCACAAAGTTGCGGTGTTGGGATCTCGGGAGAGGAAAGGTAGACGTGTTGTGGTTGCGTGAACCCCCCTCACCCAACCAGTCCTTAAAACGCCTCTCTCTCTCTATCTCTATCTCACACACACACACACACCAAACAGGTTTGTCCACCGCAAGGGTTCCGCCACAACCCCCCATCCCACCACAAAAACCTGGCACCTGAATGTCATGTGTGACATAGTACGAATGGCTGTACCGCAGTACTTTGTATCGCCAAACGTTGCGACTGACCACAGCCACGTTCAGTAGCTGGTGTGCCATTGCCTCCCAGGGTACAATCAGGTTCCGGTCACGAGCCAGGCAGCCCTTGGCGCGCGTGTACATGGGCTGCATGTCGGCCTCGAAGTCCCCCGGGGTGCTCAGGTTGGCGCTCATCACGTCGATGCCGAACCAGAACACCTCCATGCCGCGGGTTTGGGACTGCGGATTTGGGTTTTGTTGGGTTTTAGGAGGGGTGGGGCGGGGTGGGTTGAGGGGTAAGTATGGGTTTGTGTTGGCCTGGAGGGGTTTCGTCGGGACGGTCCTCCCCCAGAGACCCCCTGATACCTGCAAGAGATAGGTAAAGAGACACATACATACATACATACATACATACATACATACATACATACATACAGGCCAACCCCTCTTTCACCTAACCCCGGGTGACAGCTATCCTCTCCTCTGTATGTTGCTCTCAGTGGACATTTGGGCCTTTTTGTTATTATTGCTTTTATCATCAGCTGACCACTGTGATAGTCTCACATGCTGTGTTTGGTAGTTGTGGAAGTTGTGGTGGTTGTGGTGGTTATGGTGCTGGTCACACACTACGCGGCAAACGGGCAGGAACGAACCACTCCTCACACACCTCACACACTACGAAACACGCGGAGGCCTCCGAACATACACGCGCACCAACACTACGCAACATCCCCCTCCTCCCCCTCCCCCTACCCCTACCCCTACCCCCTACCCCTTACCTTCATGTAGATGTTAGGCCAGGATTCCCGACCGCTAAAACCGTACGGCCGCAACTCAATCAGTGACGAGCCGGGTCGCATAAACAACGCATTCGTCAGCGCTGAGCCGTGCACACCCACCAACACGTCCGAGCGCCGTACAACCCACAAATCGTATAGATTATCGATGCCAAAGATGTGCCGGAAGCAGCGCACGCGGCGGAAGATGCTGCTGGCGCCCTCGGACTCCTCCGCGGGGAGTGCGACCTGTTGGGCATTGCACCGCTCGATGAGGTCGTCCTCGTTGAGGAGTACACGGCCAATGTCCTTGTGGCTCTTGGAACGTACGGCGAATACGACTTTCAGTACGGTGTCGTCCTTTTGCTCGTCCAGCGGTACCTCCGCGGCCAGGCGCTGTGTGAAGTTGGCTTCCATGGGTATTGCCTTCTCCTGCGTGACACAGAGTGCGTGACACGGAGTGCGTGAGTGAGTGCGTGAGTGAGTGCGTGCGTGACAGAGTGAGTGACAGAGTGAGCGAGTGAACGGTCATGTGGATGAGCGACGCGACAAGGTGACGGTGGGGAGAAGCCACATGATGCGATAGACCGCGACACTGCCGCCACACAACGTCCGAGGTGAGGGAGCTGGCGGACGGCGGGGCGAGAAAAGAGAGAGGTGTAAGTACGGGACGTGAGGTACGGCAGCACGGAGCGAACGGAGAGCGGACTCCCTTCGACTCAACCGCACCTGAATCAGAGCTCATTCTTCCAGTCCCCCCCCCTTCCCAGCACCGCCCTCCCCTTCTTCTCCTTCCTCCCCATAAACCCTTATCCCCACGACACCTCAAACCCCTCCTCTCCCTCCCTCCCCCACAACCCGCACTCCCTCGCGCCCCACCGCATAATATCGCGCCACGAACTGCCCCGCCTCAAAGAACGCCCCCGTCGGCTTTTTCAGCGTGATCTTGCACATGAGGAAGCGCGAGAAGCAGCGCACCGCCACCCCCTCGCCCGTGGCGGCACTGGGCGGCGGCGGGCTGCCGGGCGGCCAGCGCTGTGAGAGGTGGCCCAGAGAGGTCACGGCGTATCTGGAGAAGGGCTGCAGCCAGAAGCGGGTGAAGGAGGGTACCGCGCTCATTGGCGGGTTGCCGGGAACCAGGGTGATGCGGCTGCGGGGGGGGAGGGAGAGGAGGGTGTTGGGGGGGGTGGAGAGGGGACGCGGTGAGCGGGAGGGAATGGCTAGGGCCCGATTGATTGGACTCAGCGGTAGCTAGGTTGATAAGGCCCTGGGGAGACCTGAGGGAGTTTCGGAGCCGGGGTCGGGGTCGGAGGGTTTCCCTGGGAGTGGAAGTGGAGTGAGGGCGCCTGTGGCGGTGGGTGGTGGGCGGAGGGAGCCGGAGCGGTGGAAGAGCTGACCCCGGGGTTCCTTGGCGACTGTGTGGACGCCGGGTGAGGTGAGGTGAGGTGAGGTGGGGGCCGGGGATGAACCACGAACGAGTGAAGCTGCTGCCAGGGCAAGAGTGAGGTGGGGGCCGGGGATGGGGTCGGGCGGGTGTTCCACAGCCCATATAACCGGTGGTGCCAATAAATCCTCCTCCACCAATCGCTCCTCTTTGGTGGCTCCGAAACCAACCCCAGCACCAGCATAACACCAGCACCATTACCTCCACAAACGACATCGACAACAAGGGCACAACGGTTGTCTTTCGGCTCGGCTACTCTGAGGATGGTTTCCGAGGTTTTGGAGCGTCAAGGGCTCTATGCCATATTCCCGGAGCAGGGAATGCCAGCGGGGACCGCGGCGCGTTCGGCCCGCTGCCGCCTGCGGTTGCTGCTGCTGTGACGGGCGGCATCAGCATAAGTCGCGGCGACGCAAGACCTTTCTTTCCCCTCCTCCCCCTCCTTTCCCTCCGCCACCCCGCACGTGTGCTGTGCGTGCGCCCCTGCTCCTGCCCCTGATGCTGCCGCCCCTGTCGCTACTGCACAGCGCCTTCTCCTTCTCCCGCCACAGGGCAGCGCGCCCGTGCAACGAATGCCTCGGTCCGCTGCCGCCGCAGCAACAACAACAGCAGCAACGACATCCAGCACCACCACCACCACCACCGCCGCCGCCGCCACAACCCACAAAGGGAGGACCAGGCCAAGGGGGATGGTACATAAGGCCCCGGGACCTCAAGCCACCGGGGCACCTCGCGGTGGCGGTACTGCTGCGACTGCTACTGCTGCTGCTGTTGCTGCTGCTAATGCTGACGATCCAGCTAATCCCACTGCCAGCTTGCCAATCATCATCCGCAGCTGCTATGCTGCTATTTTGTAACATATATAGCGCTATGCAAAAGGGCAAGCGGTTATAACAAGGAACCCAGATGGCCGTCAGCTCAATCCGGGAACCCAGAACTCGTCGCACGGCTCGCACGACTATTTTGCAACATCTCCCCCCCCCGCGGGAAACACCACCCATTTCCTCTCCCGTGGCACTCAAGGTGACGACCTACTCGTCAAAGAACTGTAGCCTCCGCTGCAAAAAGTAGATATTGTTGACTGCGAACCGATAGACTTCCGCAACGTTGAATGGGAAGTGGTGGAAGAAAAGTAGGGGTGTTGTGCAGTTGGAGAACACGGGGCGGCGCACGTCCTCTGACTCCTCCATGTGGTGCCAAGGGCGCATCAGGGGAAACTGATACTTGTTCTTGCCATTTCTCCATTTGTCGCCGATTCCCAGAACAGAGGGAGTGTTCCATAATATGTCCGTGATGTTGAAATATGGCAGCCGGTGCTCGCTGGTCCATGGGTGAAAGCGGCTGTCCTGATAGATTATGACCCCCTGGTCCACACAGACGTCGCGCAGGATGCGGCAATCAAAGATGTTCCTTGTAGGATCAATCAAAGGCGTAGGGGCGCTACAATTCGTGTACCCGAAGGACTCAGGGTGCCACTCTCGGCCCCTGAACTTGAACTGAGCATCGGTAACTTCCTTGTCTGCGTCCGGATGCTCCTGTCCACCAAGATTAACTGTTTCTTGAATCCCAGTCTCAGGTTGTGGATCAACAGCTTGTGCGACTACGACGTGTTCGCATAACCAGAGGAAGACCAACGCCATGAGCAGTGCACGGCACACCAAACCCATGTTGGAACAGAAAAGGCTTCTTTCTGATCACCGGCTGCATCCCATCATTTGCCTCTGATCATAACAACTTTTCACCGCAGTCTAGCGTATGCAGCCGTCAGCACTGCGTGCGTTAACCCTATTTGGAACATAACTCAACAGCAAGTAGCTTTAAGTGGGTAAATTTTCGATGGAGTTTGCACACATCATTCCCTTTGGAAATTCCTTGAAGCAGCTTGTCTGTCAGGAACATTCTACCGGTTTCGTATTCGGTAAACCATCAATCGTATAGAACTTTTAGTAGAGTTAAAGTCAATAATTTATAGACATGGCTCACACTTTGTTCGCCCATGGTCCGTTGCAGTCGGTTGTGGTCGAGACAACGGTACCATCAGCACCACAACCAGACACCGAACACACTGGTGGGTACTATATCATTTCAATTAGGATGCATCCATAAAAATTGCCATGTTGATGTCGTTCATTATGCATTGTCGACACCAATCCGCTGAATATGTGCTTTGTATGACAACATGCATGCCAGGTTTAAACAGTGTCCTGTTATTACAATGCCTTTCTTCGGTCAACGCATACTCCAATTGCAGTCTATACGGTACAACTAAGGCCATGCCATCCCTGTCCGGAATGCGATATCATCCCCAAAGCCAGAAAGAAGGAACTTTGTAAGATGCATTTACAAGGCCCGCGAATACCCGTAAACCATCCGCCCGCACTAGCACGGCGACGTGAATTCCGGATACACGATTTCCTACGCCGACGCGGCAGGACGGGAGTGGAAATGAGAATTCTCCTACCCTTGTCCCTTGCAAAGAAACATAGCAAGATGGGTCTCGTAACGCGACCCACATCCTTGTACACCCTGTTACTGCCAGTCGGATACGAGTACGATGCGGTACCGCGCTTTGCCCTCCGCCACGCGCTGCATAGCCTCGTTGACCTGTAGTTTATGGCAATATCACAACAGGTTCAAACGCATCGTAAAAGACCATAAACAGCTACGTTCGTTATCAAAGTTTTCCCAGACTGTTATAGACATTCACACGCGCACAAACAAAAGCCTTCGTCTTTTCATCAACTCCCAACCCTATCTCCTCCTCCTTTAAAACCAAAAAACAACGCGCCTCCCCTCTGCCACACCTGCGACAGCGGCATTTCCTCCACCATCGGCCTGACGCCATGCACCGCCGCGAACTCTAGCATCTCCTGCATATCAGCCCGACCGCCCACGATGGTGCCCGCAATCTTCTTCTGGCCGAACACCAAGTCCTGAACTTGTACCGCCATCGACGCACCGCCGCCCGGGATTCCCACCTAGTCGCGTGCGCATTTCAAAGGTCAGGTGCGTATGAGGACTTATACAAAGAGACTCAGCTCATAAAGAGAATTCGACGCGTTGAGGAATGGAGGGACACAGGGCCAGCTATACTACATATACTCGCAGGTCCAGATACACCTGATACGCAGGTGTCGCTATCAATATCTGCCGCGTCCATGCATCCATCCAGGAGGGGGTTCATGCCGTGGTGGAGGAGAAGGAGGGAAAAGAGAGACGAACCACGAGCGAGCGAAGCCGCTGAGCAGGAGGACGGGGAGGGGGAGGAGGAGGAAGAGAAGGTGGATATGGGGATGGACGCCCCCCCCCCGGCCCCAAGAAAGGGGTAAATGCATATTTTTTGTATTTGTTACCGGGTGGAATGCTTCTGGGCCACCTGACGACATCCAAAAAACATATGTATTCCAGGGGGGCGACGGGCCGCTACTGGAGGATGAAGCAGCAGCAGGACAGATCGCTCCGGAACCTCTATCGCGACCTCTTCATCTCCCTTCTCCGGAACCTCTATCGCGACCCCTTCATAACATAACATAACGGCTCACCTCCCAAGGCTCCGCACTCAAGCCGCTGTGCTGGCAACTTTCCCACGCACCGGCAACGCGAGAGCCGGAGTCCCACCCCCACCGGAGTCCCACCCCCACCGGAGTCCCACCCCCTACCTAAATACTCGGTATCTGACCCACAGTGCATCTTTCCCTTTCACGTGTGCTCCCCCTCCCCCTCCACGACCATCCTCCCCTTCACACCGCAGTCCACACCAAACCAGTCCCTCCCCCGCACCCCCATCTGCCCCGCACCCACCTGCACCAGCGTCCCGCCATTCTTCAGCAAGCTCATCAGCTGCGTGGTGCTGATGTTGGCGGAGGCGCAGTTGAGCAGCACATCGAAATGGCCCTGTGTTATTAAAGCATGGAGGGATGGTGGGGTGGGGTGGGGTGGGGGGGAAACCACGAGCGAGTGAAGCTGCTGCCAAGGAAAGAGTATACAAGAAGCACAACTGACCAGTAGGCGGTTTTGGAGGCGGCGACCTCGGGATGATGTAATGATGACGACCGCGGAAACCTACCTACCTACCTACCTAGCCGCCAAGACTAAAGTAAGAGCGGAAGAAAGCAATAGAACGAAGAGCAGTAGAGAAGTAAATGCTGGGGGGGAATGGAGTATGGGAAGAGCACGAGTGAGAAAGGGGGAGGCGGAAGGAGGAGGAGCGGGAGAGAAACTCATTATTTCTAAAACACATCCACGCGCCATCCGATAAGTGGAGCGCCGAACCTGAACCTTCCTCGTCGCCGTCGCCTTCCCGTCACACGTAGATATCCACGCACCACGTACATTCAAAGAGAGAGGAAATGAGCATATGCTTGTACTGCAGGTGTACGGTACATGTACGATGTGTACGGCAGGTGTAATTCCGTACCTGCAATCCCACCTCTCCAATGGCGCTGCCCCAGGTGTGGAACGCGTGGGCGCCAAGCTGCTGGGATTCGGCCGCCTGATATGAACAAGGGGGGGAGGGGAGGGGGGGGAAAGACGAACCCCGAACGAGTGAAGGTGCTGCCAGGGCAAGAGTGTACCAGACGTAGAACTGACCAAAAGGCGTTCTTGAAGTGCGGCGACCTCGGGATGACGTAGTGAAGAAGATGTCGGAAAAAACTACCTACCTAGCCGCCAAGACTAAAATAAGCGCAGAAGAAAAGCAGTAAAGCCAAGCCGTAAAGAAGTAAAGGTAGGGAGAGGGGGGGAGCGGGGGAGAGACGAACGGGGGCCGGGGGGAAGAAGCTTCTCCCTGGTAATGAACAAAAAAATAGGGGGGAAGGTGGTGGCAGGAAAAGATTTCATAAAAGATTTCACAAATCAGAAGGGGACTTTAAGGAGGTTACAAGAAAAAGAAGAGCTAGGAGCGCTGGGCAGAGTGCGGCGAGGATAGCTCCTTCAAGGCGGTCAACAAATGCAGTACGGCACAGTACGGCACAGGTTCGAAACACGGAAAAAACAAAAAGGTCAGCCGAAATTCTGAGCGCGCGAAAGGAAGAGCAGGAGGAGCGATCAGGATGAGGAGGGGGATCCAACCCCAGCTACCCATCCCCATTTTCCTCTCTCTCCCCCCTCCCCCCCCCA